AGCAGGAGGAATAACGAACAGGAGGAGTAACCAGCAGGAGGAGTAACAAGCAGGAGGAATAACGAGCAGGAGGGGTAACAAGCACGAGGAGGGGTAACGAGCAGGAGGGGTAACGAGCAGGAGGGATAACGAGCAGGAGGGGTAACGAGCAGGAGGGGTAACGAGCAGGAGGGATAACGAGCAGGAGGAGTAACGAGCAGGAGGGGTAACGAGCAGGAGGAGGAATAAGCAGGAGGAGTAACGAGCAGGAGTAGTAACGAGCAGGAGGGGTAACGAGCAGGAGGGGTAACGAGCAGGAGGGATAACGAGCAGGAGGGATAACGAGCAGGAGGAGGAGTAACGAGCAGGAGGAGGAGCAACGAGCAGCTTTCGTTGCCAGGAGGAAGGAAAAATATTTTGTTGATCTGAGATTTTCATTTTTAATTCTTCGGAGCCACAAACCTCAGAAGACGTGACGTTTTTCTGACGCAGGTGTAAAAACATCCTGACGGAAACATTCAGAACATTCCCTGAGTTCCTCCCTAATGGTAGCTTACAGGTAACATCAGGTAGAGTCAGGTGAGAGTTTCATCAGCAGCCAGGTGTTACAACTGCTTCAGTTGTTCTTCGTTAGTTTAAAGTCACCTCAGTTCTCGTTACAAGGCTTAAACTTTAGAAGTGGGCGCAGGTTCACACCGTGACGAGCTGGAAGAAGCAGCTTTTTGTCCTGATCGTTGGACTCTGCAGCAGGCGTGACGTTTATTGAGCTTAATGAGTCCGGTTGTTACTTCCTGCTGAGCGCTAACGGTCAGAACAGACTTTTAAACGTCAACATGCTGCTTCTGTGGGAAAAACTAGGAAGTTATCAGACTGCAGGTGAAAACAGAATCTAAAACAAACTTTTTACTTTATATAGAAAATTGTTTTCATTCGTTTTCTGCAGTTTTTCACTTATTTTAAAAATATTTACTTCTACCTTTTATTTTTCTTACATCTAATTTAGTTGTACGGTTTTCATCTAATTTAAAATCAGACAAAAACTATTTTGATCTTGTTTAGAGACTGAAACTAAACAAGAGCAGAATATATTAGATTATTTAGCTGGTTAGCCTGAAATTTTTGGAGGACTGAGACTGTCAATTAGAA